AGCGGCAGTAGCGCGCGAATGTGGATGGTGTCGACTCGTCCCTTGGTCGGGCTCTGGTAGCGGACGAAGATGTCGTCGACGTAGACGACGGCGATGATGTAGCCTCCGTCATCAAAGATGATGCGGAAGAGGTTTGGGTCGGCGGCGCACTGCTCGAACCCGCACGCCTTGAGGACGGCGGTGTTCTCCTTCTGAAAGATGGCGCCACCTTGCTTGGTCCCCTCCCGAGGCCCTTGAGCAGACGGCACGCCTTGAACTTTGGGGCTGCTCAACGTACATCTCGACATCGAGCTTGGTGGTGGAGGTGAACGCCTTGACGACGTCCCAGCGCTCGAGCTCGTCGTCGTTGGCTTGCAGTCGGCGAGGAAGATGAAGAGCGTCTCGATCCGCAGCGTGCCGCAGTAAGTCTTCCGTGTCTTCTACAAGGACGACGGCTCCGTCGACCGCTTCAAGGCGCGCTGGGTCGCCTGCGGGTACAGCCAACGCCCTGGCATCGACTACCTCGAGACTGACACGCGGGGAAAGCAACTTCTCGGAGCTTCCGGCTTGAGCACTTGAGCACTGGATCTTAAGGGGGCGGAAGGGGCTAAAATCCCGACCAGTGAGACTCCGCCTATGCAACACCCCAGAGAGGGGCTGCCATCGCCGAAGCTGTGCCTAAGCATAAATAACTCTTAAACCCGCAGCGGCCCAGGGGGCCTTGGGGGCAGCCTGCCTGCCGGACCGCCGCCGCACGGCGCTAAGCACCAGAAGATGAATGTAGTTGATGGATCGGGCTATCGTCCGTGTGCCTCCCCCCTCCTTTGCGTCAGAGTGGGACCTACGCCGCGCCGGGTATGGGGCGCGCCCGGTCCTCGACGGAGCCGCGCGCCCCGAGCGACCCAGGCGGCGCGAGTAGTCGTCGTTGAACCTCCGGCACGTAGTTGCCCGTGGTTAGCGCCCGCCCGCCCCCCGCCGTCCGTCGCCTCGCAAAAGAAAAAAGCATCATCAGCAGCAACAGCAGCAGCAGCAGCAGCAGCAGCAAAGGAGCAGCGCCACCGCGCCGCCGCCGCCGCCCGCGCGCCGCCGCCCATTTGTTTGCTGCGTGCTGCTGCAGCCGCCTCCGCCAACGCCGCAGGTAGGTGATCCGAGAATGAGGAGCCAGAAAGCGACCTCCCAGAAAGCGATCTCCAAGTTGTTCGCCTTCTTTCTTTTTTCGCGCAGTCCGCGCGAAATTCTTTTTTCGAACCGGAATCGGGTCGAGCCAACGCCGATGTGCAAGCCAGCGTCGCTCAAGCCTGCGCTCAGGCCAAACATCGTCCACCTCTCTGAGATCCCGCCCGGGTACAACCTTGACCTCTCAAAGTCGTCTCATTTCAGAGTCAACTTCTCAGTCGGCCAGGCGGCCGCGTCGGCGCTCGACCCAAGTCACAACGAGTTCTTCAACCTCGCCACCGACATAGTCCCACTCGTCTACTTCTCTGCCGAAGCTTTACGGCTTGCCACCACTGCCGACGGCGGCAGCGGTCTTGACAGGGGCGGCGGCGGCGCGGCGCCAGCTCTCTCGGAGGCTGTCCGGATGTGCATCTTTGCGACCGTCCTCCAGCATGCCACGTCGCTCTTCTCTCACACGTTTACGTGCTGCTCGCCGCGTGCCTCCCGCACGGTGAAGCACGACGAAAAGCACTCCCATCCCTTCTGGCCTGCCCTCGAGACGGAGAAACTGCCACCGCTTGCAGTGCCAGGGTTCACACTAGGCCGAGTAGGGGTGTGGACAACCGCCGCAGATCCACACTAGGACCTCGTAGCACAGTGGGCGCTCCACCGCCCCCCCACACTCTCTCAGGTGTGGCACGTGGACTACGCGGGCGTGCTCATCAACTTCCTGTGGAACGGCCCCGTCATGGCCTTCATCGCGGCGCGCCCTCTCCCCTAAATATGAATAGTAGTCGGCAGCCGTAACTCCAAGATCGGACCCCTACCCACGCCCAAGCGACAGCGACAAGGGACGTGGCGTCAAAACCACACACAAGGACTGTGTGTGTGGGGGGGGGGCGGGGGGAGGGACTCGTGCTCACTGAGACAGACAGTGAAGCGCGCAGAGACACGAGGGGCGAGGGCTGATACCAAGAGGAGCGAGCAAAGAGGAGGGCCTCGAAATCTCTCCCTCAACCTGGCTGCACGGCTGTGCGCCGCGCCCCTTCACGCGCTCAGCTGTCGAGCAGGCGCCCTCTCTCGGCCTCGACGCCTTCTGGCACCCGTGGGCCGCCATACTAGCGGCATCGAGCGCGCTGCTGCTCGGCGGCGCGGTGAGATGTAGCTCTGACGCAGCCGAGAGACCGCCGAGAGACAGCCGAGACGCAGCCGAGATCCAGCCGAGACCTCGCAGCCGAGATAGAGCTTCGCTGATCTCGGATGATCTCGGCTGATCACGCCTCCCCTCTGCCAGGTGCGGCTCATGCTGCCGGGCTCGATCGCAGACGCGCCCGGCTACGAGCCCGAGGACTTCATCACGGCGAGATGCGCGCCGAGATGCGCCGAGATGCGCTGAGTTCTTTGAGACTCTACGAGAGCCGAGATGCGCCGAGAGCAGCCGAGATGCGCCGAGATGCGCCGATATGCGCCGAATGGAAGTAGACTCGGGGGACTAGTGCAGGCGCGCCACCGGCCTCGCAGCCTGTGAACGGCGTCTCGTCTCACACGTGCAGTGGCCGCGCACAGGCTTGCACCGTCAGCCCGCCGCGGCTCGTCTTCTCCGCCGCCGCGATCTTGCCCGTGTACGCCCTCACTGTCGCCGCGGCGGCGCAGGGCCACGCCCCCGCCCTCTTCTCCGCCGCGGTGTTGCCGGCCGCGCTTCTGCTCAAGCTGCGACACTGGCCCGAGAGCCTGTTTTCCGCGTCGTCCGCGTTTGACCGCTCGCCGCTGCACAGCCACAGCGTGTGGCACTTGCTTGTGTGGGCCGTGCAGGATCCACACACGCCTCCCCTCTCCCTGGGCTCGTGGAGCAGCGAGGGGTTTCACGGGCGGCTTCTTCTGGGGAGTAGGCGGGCTATCTCGAGCTCTTTGAGCGGGCGCTGCGCGGCACCGGCAGCGCGGAGGGGGCATGTGCGACAAACGGAAGAGCGTGCTGGTATCTTAAATAAGACTGTCTTTGACTGCTAGTTAGCTACCAGGGCCCTCTTCTTGTAAACCGATTCTCCCTGCAAGTGTACCTTACTAGCATTGTTCCATCATAAAGGTGTGCCTTATATAGTGATTCGGCCGCTCTCGAGCACATGGCGCATGCCTCGCCCACACGCGCGCGCGAGCGGGTACGACCAGGGAAGCAAAACCAAAAGTTGCTGTGTGAACTATAGGAAGACGCTGATCATACGGCTTTAGATCAGACGCCGTTCACACCGTCTCCCCAATTATCACACTCACACTGACAAGTGTGGGGAGGCAAGGCACTGTGAATCGCCTTATCATGATAACTTATCTCTCACAACACACAAGGACTTTGCGGAGATCAGCAGGAGGATGTACGACGAGATTAGGGAGCAGCAGGGACCCGAGGGACCATGTGGAAGACGGCTAGTGCTAGTTAGTCCCCCATCGGGAGGACGACCCCGGCTAGTCGCCGACCACACCCACAAAGAACCCTGCACAAAGATCGCAAGGGCGGGGGCCTGTTCCTTTTTACCCATCTCACAGTAGAGAGGTGTCCGTTTTTATTTATTTATTTAGGACGGGACCCCTCTCTCTCGAGGTTCTCGAGGTGGATATCCTTTGGCCGCGTTGGGTAGCGAGGATATGTGTAACCCGAGCCACGGAGGCGTGTTTTCTGACGGCCGACCGTCAGTGCACGGAGGTGCCCCTTCTCCGACTGCCCCGGCTAGTTCCCGAGGTCGCGCGGGGCTGACCCCTGCGTCCCCCGAGACCTAGCGCGGGTGGGTTGGAGGGGGCTCGCTGCAGGGAAGGGCTGTGTAAGAAGCCGATCCCCGTAGTCCGCCCCGCTCCTCCCCATCGGGCCGCATGAGCGGCCACGCCTTCCCAGAATTCGTTTTCCCCCCTGGGTCAGGCGCGGCGGGGGAATGGCCCAATCCCCCGGGGGCGGTCCGACCAGCGATCCCAAAAAGTGGCCCCTTTTGCGAAAGGAAAAAAAGGGGGGCCCTCGGGGGTTCGGGTCACGCTTGGTCCGGCCCCCCTCGGAAGGGGGGAAGGGAAATT